TGTTTTTGCAGAGGTGCTCAGAATACAACAGTTTAGAAGCATATACGTATAAAGATACACAACATATCCCTCCAAACTGCCAATATCCCAAACCCCTCCTTTAAAGTGCAAGCATTGTACTTCCCATTTCCAGGACTCAAGTCCGACTATATGAAAATAACCGGTTTCCCTGAATCCCTTCACTAAATATTACCCTGCTCACACTCCAACAGATCGTCAGGTCCCAAGTACCATTCGTCTCCATTCACTCCTATCCAACACGCTCACGCAGGCTTGCTGGAAGTCCAAGCCCCTCGCCCACAAAACCTCCTTTTGCAGCTACAATCACTAAAAACACTGTGATAATATGAAATGTACCGAATGCATGCGTGGATGCGACTGCACTGGCTGGCTTGTAAACACTGGCACGCACTGGGCAGCTGAGGCCATGTGTGGGACGGGTCCTGGATGAATCGCATGAGGCGAGGCAAAATTTTTGCAATAAAATGTATCGTATGGCGGATTTAACGTACCGCGATGCCATTGTAAGGCGGGGGTCCATGTATTTTAAAAGTTGATAGTAATATTTCTGTATAGGTTCTCCTTGAAGAGATGCTTTGATGCTGGTGAATTAGAGCTATCCTTCGTTTCCTTGGGACATAGCTAATTGACTCTTCCTTAGACATTACATAATCCTTGTGGGTTTAGATCTTCTCCAAGATTATAAAAATGTGTGCATATTATAAGGTATCTGCCACAATATTTTGTTTTCATATTGAGGAATTAATTTATTTTGTTTTATTTCAGATGCCCAGCATTAAGCTTCAGAGCAGTGATGGCGACACCTTCGAGGTGGACGTAGAAATTGCTAAACAAAGTGTCACCATAAAAACAATGTTGGAAGACTTGGGTAAGTACACTGTTGAACAATGCTGGAAGATTTGGGTAAGTACACTGTTGAACGGTGTTGGAAGACTTTGGTAAATATACTGTTGAACAATGTTGGAAGAACATTTTTTTGCACTTAAGGATGAAATATATTTTGGAAAACAGTAAACTGCATTACTGTCATTGAGTAAAAGAAGATACAGTGTGTGTTGTAATATTAATAACCTGCCCTCCTAGAGTTTATAACAAATTTCTTGATGCTCTGCATGTTTAGGTTAGGCTTGGTTAACCCTTAAACGGCCCAAACGTATATGTATGTTCTCTCATGTAGCGCCCCAAATTTTTTGAGGAAAAAAAATCTTTTTTTTTTTTTAATAGGAAAAAAGAGCATATGGTACCCAGGCATCCCAATTATTTTAATATGGCGCACAGTGAGTGCGCACACCCATTCTCTCATGTCTAGGCGACTCGGGCTTATCGTGGCAATGTTGAATGAATGACAAAGAAAACGTATATATACGTTTGGGGCGCTACACGAGAGAACGTATATATACGTTTGGGCCATTTAAGGGTTAAGTTCGATAGTCGTTTATAAGAAGAAATTTAGCGTTTATAATTTATAATCATGTCATTAGTGAATAAAGGCAGTTGAAATCTTTGTAGCATGAGCACTAAGACAGAGGCCAACAAAGCGCATGTTAAAACTTTACTGTCAGATATCACATTTTCATTTAAATATCACAATCACACACTTAAAGTTGTTAGCCAAAGTGATGTACACTAATAATGTTCATGAGGATTGGCTAATGTTGGATTATAAGAGAACAAGACTTAAAGAAGAGTGAGTGTAGTAACCATGACTTGTGTTGTGTTTTACACATTCTTGGTGTGGCAGGGATGGACGAGGATGAAGAGGAAGTGGTGCCTCTCCCAAACGTCAATGCAGCTATTCTGAAGAAGGTAATTCAGTGGTGCACCTACCACAAAGATGACCCACCTCTTCCTGATGATGATGATAATAAGGAAAAACGCACAGATGATATCTCCTCTTGGGATGCAGATTTTTTGAAGGTATGGATAATTTTGTAAGCAGTCCTATAAACCACAAATTAAAAAAACAGCAAAAATTAGCCCTTTTACCGAGTGATGTACTAGAACATGGGGGACCAAGTAGTGTCTGATGTTTATTAACCCTTTGAAGGTCCAGACCCCTGATCTGAAATATGTCTACAGGGTCCAAAATTAAAAAAAATCTTATGAAGTGATTGACTATTTCTAAAAGTAATAACACCAAAGGAATGAAATTTGATGGAAAACTTATGAAATTACACTTTCACAAAGTTAGCAGTCTCTGTGATATTTACGCACCAGTAATTTCATCCACTTAGGGTCCTATTTTAGGCCAATTTCATCATTCCAGTCTACCAACTCTTAGCTATCTTGCTTATATACCTTGCAGTAGACCAAACTCTTAGCAGTTTCACTAGTATACCTTCCATTCTACTGATTGAGCACAAGAAGCTGCCCATTTAACTATTTCAGCTATTCAATAAAGTGATCCGAAATAGGTAATTTGGCCTATTTCACACAAAATAAAAAAGTAAATTTTAAAAAATAGGGTTCCAGAATAAACAATTTAGACTTTATACACTAAAAAAAACCCCGTTTTCCCTATTCTTTTCAGTAGTTACATCCCAAGCTTTTTCCTATATTACAATTGTTCCCCTTTTTTTAAATTTTTTTACTCAAAAAAAAAAAAGTTTTCCCGTAGGGCAGACACGCATTTTTGTAAAAATTGTATAAATAATGTAAGAAACTTTCGGGAACCCCAAAATCGATGGGCCATTTAAAAATGATTGAACGGGGAGGGTGATTTGTGCCCTCTACCTCAGAACATTGGAAAAAAAAATTTTTCCCCATTCCTTTGGCTCATTTTTCAAGCAAACTTCCTCCCCTTTGAAAAAAACCCCAAAAATTCTTCTCTTTTTTCCTGAAATTATATCTTCCTTCTTCAAAAAAAAACCGAAAAATAAAAAAAAAAATGCACCGCAAAGTTGCTTTTTAAAACCAAACACGGGGGTTTATTTTTATTCACTATTTAGGAAAAACGTTTTTTTTTAATGTGGTGCACACTCACCCATAGCCCCATTCTCTCTTATTGGGAAAAATTTACTGCACATGGCTTCCCTGAGTGAACTAAACTCATCACATGTTCCACAGCCCCGCCCCCTTATTTCAAAACTTAAAAGGGTTGGTCCCAAAAAACTTCATTTTTAATTATTCTGGCCCCAGCTCATAACTAAATTTGCTCGTTTATCAAATCAGTTTTCCTCTTTGGGAAATTTAAAACTGAAATGCCTTTAAACCCTTTCGGGGTTTTTTGGCCGAAATAGTACGGCTTACGCACCGGGTCCATGACGTGCTAGTACTCAAAAGTTTTTGCCCCTTCAATCTTGTGAGAGAAAGCTGGTAGGCTTACATATAAAAAGGAATGGGGTCTATGGGGTCAGTGGCGCAGTAAAAAAAAAAAAATCCTGCAGCACACAGTGCTTTAATGAAAAAAAAAAAAAAAACTTCGATCGTTTTTTTTGGTTTAAAAAACAGGGTCTTTGCACTATATTTTTTTTTATGGTATTTTTTTTTGTATTCTAGTTTTTTTGGTCTCTTTAAAAAGAAGGGAAACATATTACGAAATTAAAGGAGATGTTTTTGACTGGTTTTACAATGAAAATTTACCTTGAAAAGGGGGAAAAAGTTTTTTTCCAAATTTCAAAAGTTCATTTTTAATTAACCAAAGTTAATTTTTTTTAAACCCAAATTTTTATCCTTTTCTCCCAACAGTAACGGGAAAAAATTTAAAATTTTTTTAAAATTTTGTGAAAAAAAATTTTCCAAAATTTTGGAAAGCCAAAAAGAAAAAAAAAAAAAAAAAAAAAAAAAAAAAAAAAAATGTAAGAGGGGCCTGGGGACGTGACTAATGAAAGGGGGAAAGTTATTTTAGTGCCAGGAAGGGTTTTTTCTTGTTTTTTTTCTGAGCCCTATTTGGAAACTGGAAATTTTTTGAAAATTTGGGGAAAAATTGGCAAAATTGCAAAATTCTGACCACTGTATTGGTAGTTGAAATCGGTAAATTAGGGGTTTCCCTTTTAACTCTTTCAAATAAAAAAAATAGAGTTCTAGCAGAATAGTTATTTTTTGTCGACTATACATTGGTTTTGGGGGCCGAAAAAGGGCTCAAAGTGGGCAAAATCGCCGATGCCAAAACATCGTAAAAACCCGCTAACTTTGCGAGAGAAAATTTTTCCCTTTAAGGGTTTTCCCATCAAATTTCATACTTTTGGTGTCATTGTGATCGGGGAAAGTTTCTCATCTTTTCATAAGTTTTTTTTTTTTTTTTTTTTTTTTTTTTAAATTTGGGAACTCTGAGAAAAGTTTTGAGGGGGCCCTGTGGACCCTAAAAAGGGTTTAAATCCATTCCAGCCCCCAAAAAAAAACCCCCATTTTTTTTTAGGGTTTTTTTTAAAAATAAAAAGTACAGTGGACCCCCGGCTAAAAATTTTTTTTTCATTCCAAAAAAAAAAAATTTTCGGGTGCCGAACTGAACGAATTTTTTCCCCAAATAAGGAATATTGGGAAGTAGATTAGTCCCATTTCAGCCCCAAAAAAACTTTACACGTAAAAACGCATTTTCAAAAATCCCAGGGGACCCCCCCTAGCGACCTTAATCCGGGGCAAGGGGGGCTGGCTGTTATGCGAAATGTTCGGTATGCGAATGAATTTTCCCCATAAGAAAAAATGGAAATAAAAATTAATCCGTGAAGACCCCCAAAAGTTAAAAAAAAAAAATTTTTACCAAAAAAATGTTTTTTAAAACCAAAACAAATAAAAAAGGCATGAAACAATTACATGACACTTACTTTTATTGAAGATCTGGTGAGGGATTGAGGGGAGGGGAGGGGGGGGAGAGAGAGTTTTTAGTGTTTGGGAAGGGGCCCCCCCTTTTCCAAATTAAAAATTTTAGGTTTTCCGAGTCCTTTTTTTTGGGGTTATTTCCCCTTCTTCTTTTAATGCCCTGGGACCGTTTTCAGGTAAATGGATTTCTTTCGCACAACATTTCCATAGTGGCCTGTACCTCTTTTTTCCTTATGACTTCCCAAAAGTGTTTCACCCCATTGTCAGTGTACTTTTTTCCCCAACACGGCTTGCAATGCTGTGGGGGTGATTTTCATAAAAAAAGGTTTTGCCCTTCAAGCCATTTTTGCAAAATTTTCCCTTAATTTTTTGTAGTGGGAAATTTCCCTTCAATTTCTCTCTCCCCTCCTTTAAAACCATTTTCCTCGGGGCCCGGGCCCTCTTGCCTTGAAGTTGATCTATCAGCTCATCGGGGGTTTAGTTTTTCCCATTGTCCTCCACCAACTTTCCACTCCCCCCCAAAAAACCCCCCCAAACCCCCAAGGACTTCCCCCAATCCCACAATTGATTCCCCCAACTGGCAAAACCTTTCCTTCCTCTGGGGGTTTAGCCCCAAACCCTTCAAAAAACCCCTTTTGTCTACACATTCTGGCCACAGTTTTTTCCCAAAAGCAGAGTTCAAGGTCTTTTGTCACCCCCTTTTCCCAAAAGCCTTCCCTAAAAGGGTTTTATCCCAATTGGGATAAAAAAGTGATCTCCCCAAAAAGGTCTCTTAGAGTCAGTTGAGTTTTGGGGGTTCACTAAAAAAGCCCCTTTTAAAAACAGAGCTTTTGTGTTCATTTTTTTTGAAGTTTCCCAAAAACCTCTGGTCCAGGGGTTTGCGGGAAAAGGATGGTATTAGGAGGAAAAAAATTTTCCCCTTTAAATTAAATTTCATGTCCCCAAAAAAGTCGCTTGCCCCTTTCTGAAAGGAGGGACCGGGGGCTTTGGGCCCCTTAACCCCGGGGAGGCATTTAAATTAAAAATTTCTTTTAAGTTAGGTATCTTTCACTTTGGGGGGAAAAAATGCAGGGTGAAACCCCGGGTCAGAGAAAAAGTCCCTAGTGCCCCTTCCCTTACTTTTTTGCCCTCCACACAAACAAAAATTTTTCCTTAAAGGAAAATTTTTTTTCCTGAACGGTCGGGGAAATTTTTCAGAGTGTTCACTAATAAAGGCTTCACTTTGAATCACCAGTACCCATTGGAAACACCCCCACAAAGTAACCCCTTTCTTTCATGGCTTATGCCCGGGGAGTGCCTTTTCCCCCGGGTTAAGGGTAGGCCCTGTTGGCATTTTCTTCCAAAACGGGCCCCGTTTATAAACAATTAAACACTTTTCGGGGTTTCAGTCCTTCAGTGCCCTATGCACCCCCTTGAATTCCTGCACAAAATTTTTCAGCCCTTTGTGGTCCAAAACGGGCACCCTCACCACCCCCTTATCACACAATGTAGGGCCATTTAACGCTTCAAAAAATCTCTAAAAACCAACCTTTGTGGCCTTAAATTCCCCTTCACATCATCACTAGTTGCACCCCTTTTTTTTAAATTAAAATTTCCTATGCAATTTTCCTACCCCTTTTCCCCGTTTTATGAACGTTTTGGAAACCAATTTTCCGCTAGCTTTTTTTTCATTTATCCACACCAAAAGATTCTCAAAAACTTCCATCACTTGCGATCTCTTTTTTCGAAAACACAGTTAAACCTTTGGCAAGAACAGCTTCCTTGTTCCCTTTTCTTTTGGCCCACAATAGTAGAGATGGTTAAATTTGGGGTTTCTTTTTAAAAACCGGGGACCAGGCGGCGAAAACGCACTCCCATTTTCATACTTATCAATGATCTCTTTTTTCATCTCTATTTGGAATTCAAACCCCTTTAAATTGCTGTAGGGTTGGAACTAAAGCTTTCTTGGGGCCCAGGGGCCCATTTAAAACCAAAATAAAGCACCGAAAAAATGTAAAAATTCGAAATATTCCGTTTGTATGCTTGGTGTTACCGGGGAGGCTGGTTGGTAAACAATGCCCCCGGGCGGAAACATATGAGGTTTGGCTCGGGCCGAATTGGCGCGTCTCGGACGAAGGGCGCTGAGGGGGTTTTTTGGGCGGTATGGGGGGAAAAAATTTTAGCGATAAAAAAGCTTTCCCCGGGTATGGGAT